AGTGGCTAGTCTGATATAAGAGTAGTGGGGTTCAAGGACACCTGCCTTATCATTGATCAACCTAACATTCATTCAGTGGTAAGAGTAGTAAGGATCCTTGGACACCCGCCTTGTTGAGGGCTAGCCAGTGATAAGAGAAGCAGGAAAATCCTGTCTTATCAGTGACTAGTCTGATATAAGAGTGGTGAGGTTTCAAGGACACCTGCCTTATCAATAAACATCCTAGCGCTTAGTCAGTGATAAGAATAATAAGGATCCTTGGACACCCGCCTTATTGAGGGCTAGCCAGTGATAAGAGTAGCAGGGGAATCCAGTCTTATCAGTGACTAATCTGATATAAGAGTAGTGAGGTTTCAGGGATAMCTGCCTTRTCTATGACTAACCATAGGATAAGCCTCCCGCWAAGTGTGCTTTGGCTCACAAGKGCCAAGAGCCACAAGATTTGCCTTTGTCAAACAAGTTTTAGTAACAAGTGGATATATCCTGAATGGTCTGCCATACCACCTCTAACTTTCTCCACAATCTGCATTGTTCAGTCATAACTAACTATCTCTGATTCTACTGAGAGGGGATAAGTGAAATCTTACCTTAAAGAGAGACTATTCATTTGTCTGATTTCTTTTCATGGGATTATTTCCACAAGTTGGATTGATGATGTGTTCATGTGTGTTGGGAGAAGGAAKGAAACTCAGACAGGATAATCCTAAAAGGGATAGAAATGAGATAGTGAAAGGGATATGGAGAATTASTGCGACAGTAAAAGGGAAGTGAACTGTTAGTCACTACCTAAAGCGAAAGGGCAATAACCCAAACATTTAGTTAAGGATAGAAGTCAGACAAAAGACACAGAGTCTAGAAGGAACATTCTAGATCTCAGWAGAGAAGAGGGATGTTAAGTTTCTCTTGGACTGTGTTGTGTCTACAGGTTTCGACATTTCGGAGAACTTACGGGGGAATCCGTAAGAACAACAATTATGTAGTCTCTGGACAACAGGTCGGTAGAACTTCGACTCAACTTCCACCATGGCTTGACACCCACACCGAAGACAAGACCTAAGAAGGGAACAGATAAATCTTCCCCCTGTATCTATGCCTAAATTGTCCAAATCACACTCAGGAGTCTTCAAAAATGTGTGGGGCTGGGGTAAAAGGAGTTAGGGTTAGGAAGGAATGTTGTTTTCAAGGGTTTGGGGCGTGAGTGGCATGCTATGAATGGATTAAAGGTCGACGCTCGTAGCGCATTTTGTGTCTGCATCTGTATGTGTATATGTTGTTTCTTGCATCTGCACAGGTGTTGGACATCTGTGCTGTCTTCTGAATTTGGGATCGTTTGAGAAATTCGGGCAAAGGGACACGACAATTGTGAAAGTGAGGTCCACCGCTCAGTCAGCTCCCCTGATTTACATACATATAATATATATATATATGTATATATATACTTGTGAATGGGATCGTAGTTGGTCAGGATCGGAAAGTCATTTGTCTAGGCTTCTGTTTGAGAGGATAGGATGCTACAAAGGGAATCGACCCTGGCATTCTCATGTGATGAGCAAAGTAAACGCTGAGTCATTGTCATAGTTAGTTAAGCGTGGAAGACTGTCCTAGAAAAGTCGACCTGATTAATAGTCGGTCCGAGGAAYTACCGTCTCGGGGCACGACATACAGATCAGTCTTAAGGTGTTCTACCGCGCATATGCCTATGCTACGGAGATCGAGAAAACGCCATCGGTTCACCTACCTCTGCGATTGCATGTAAAAGCCTTCGCACGTTGGTTAGTAGCTCAGCAGGGATACGCCCACCTAAGGGATGGTGACAGCTCCCGCAGGTGAGGGTATGTTGTACCTCGCGGGTTCCCTAACCTGTCGTAGGGAGTCGCGAGAGGTATAGCACTCGCGCACGGTCGGAGTTGGTATTGCGTAAAGTGACAAAAAGAAACTCCTGCGTGACATGACTGTGAGGTCCAACACCAAAAACTACTTTGCGTCTGGGTGTGGGACTGTCGCGCGCGACAGGTGGCGCCGTTGCCGGGGATCTCACTTCCTAACCGAGGTCCTCAGTGAACGAACTCGGGTATGGTAAGTCGATGATCTAGGCAAAACGACAACTCTAATCTGTTTACCGAAATATAATTTGACCAAGGATTCCGAGTAGGGATTACGTAAGTGGTCATTGCATATAAACCACTTAGAGATTTATAGAACGGAATAGGTACTAGGAACGAATAGGTGGTACAAGTAAGGCGACAGTTAGTGAGAACTTGTGACAAGGTTCGCCCTAGAGAGTGAACGGAGAAGTATTTCATTGATAGTAATCTAAGGTTATCTGGAATCTCTCTAAGACCGACGGTATTCAGTCAGATAACTTTAAAGGCTCTAATGTCCAACGACTGTCTTCATATTAATATGGCACCCAAAGACCGTGGGGCTGGTACTGGAAGAGGAAGATGCGGAAGGTAAGGAAAGGCCGCCGAAAGAACTATAGAGTTGACCAAAGAGCGGGAGGATTGGAAAAAGAAAAATGAAGAGTTAGAGGAGAAGGAAGAAATTAGACTTTTGTTAGGATTGTTCTTACGAGCAAAGTTTATAAATGAAGGTCTGTTCAATCAGAAGTCTGGCAGATCTATAAAGGGGGACGAACAGAACGGATAGAACAACTTATTATGTCAGCGGTAGTGACTTGCAAAGAGAGGCACATAATCCTAAGTGTAGTCAGTAAGGCAGTGAGGAAGTAGGTGTCAAACCATCTTGTTTATTTTCAACTTGGTGGCTATATTCAGGCATGAGGATAGTTACTTAAACTCAGACTAAGTATCATGCACGCGGAAGATTGGTGACCACCACTGGACGGATAATCCGAGGGTGGCAGAGTGGAGCTCGATAGGATATTAGGATTGGTCATCACTTTCCTAGATTAAAGACAAGTGGGTGTATGAACTTCTAGATAAATTAAGGTGTTTGTTGGGTAAGAGAGAACATGGATAAGTAGAATGCAGTCTGAAAAGAGGACAAAATTCTTCTCCTTGAGAGTTTTGATAGGATAAAGGTTTAGAGTAGATGATAGTATAAGAAAATACATGGATATTTTGAGGATAAGCATGAGGATGAGAGGGATGAGTCGGAAGTCTGACGCATTATAACATACTTTATATTTATATATGTATCCAAAGAGGATGAGTTGGTGACCACAAACACTTTCAAATTGTGAGTGAATCCTTGTCTATGGTTGAGTCTTTTGTGAGTCAGTATCTCCCTTTGTCTATCACTATTGGACTCGTCTGAGACCTAAAGATGGTGGTAAAGGAACGGACGGATAAGTATTTTGAGTGAAAGTCAATGAAAGGTAGATGGAAGGATTGATTATATGTTTGAAAAGCCATGCTACGATATGGACAAACTATTTTCAATGAGTTGAAACCTTTTTACAATCATTTTTCCATTGAATGAGATGTTTGTTTTGGTGGATTCTGACAAGCAAAGAGTCAATAAAAGTTTATCTTAAAAATAATGGTTTTATATATATATATATATATATAAATAATGGTTATATATATATCGTCAAATAGAACTGCCCGGTAAACCGTAGGCAGAGAGGGAGAAGAGGACAACAAACGAGGGGCTGTGACAAACTGTTTCGTCGGAGTTTCACCGACTCATCAGGAGGCTATATATATATATATATATATATATATATATATATATATATATATATATACAAAATGACCCCGAGGTGCGTGCCTCACCGAGCTATGATCAAAGACTTGGAGGGCACAACCTTGAGTGGCAATCTGACAAATGCTCAATTTATAAAAAATTCTCATTTATTTGGCTTATTTAAAGCATCGTTCATCCACCTCAAGGGTTAACCTGAGGGCATAAAACTACCAAGCCTATGGCGGAAAATTGGCATCGTTGGGACGTAACTCCCAGCGTGGGCTGCAGACCTAACACAACCAGGCAGCGGACCCTTCGACTATGGTCTCGAAGAGAAACTAAAAGGGTGACCACCCCAATGAAAGGATCTATTCAGGTGGATGTCGAAGGGGTCGAGATTAGTAATTTTAAATAGGATGAATATCCCATCGTTGCGCAACCAACGGGGGTAACCACCGATAAGCAACAACGCGGTGGGCCGCAGCTCCGGCCTGATCAGCAGGACTGTGGTGGGTCATGATGGAGACCATTGTCTTCCTCTATTAGGCTTCGGGCAGGACGACAGACAACTTTGGATTGTGATAACAAGATTTGAACACCCAAGGTATCGGTTAGGACCCGCGTTTGACGGGTTGAGTTCGCACGCGGATACCGACCCTGAAAACAACCAACGAATACCTGGGCCAAAGACTAAAGGTGTGGTGGAAGGAAAGGTGCGTTGTCATACTTAACTATTTCATGTACTGTAGTACAGATCAAGTATCCCCACTTCGAGTCATTAAATTTATTTAATGTGGGAGACCCGGGTTAAAATCCCGGCAGTAATAATGAAAAGTAAGGTGACGACGTCAATCCTGAAACCACATTTCATTCTAAGATTCGGATTTGATGATTTGTTTGTCGGAAAACATCTTTTATTTGCATATACTTCTCCGGGCGACGGGGACGTCGCTTAATGGGGTCTGGGATACTGTTGGACCAAATACCCTTACAAGGGTATTTGGCCATGCTTTTGCATTCGACACGGTAATGGCGTCGGCTACCTTGACGGAGCCAGTCTGGAATGGAAAGGGTGTGCACGCTTGAGCGTGACACTTGAAATGAATTCCTCGGCCAATAAGGTCGGGGCAAATCAGTGAGAAAAAAAAAATTCGAGAGTATGAGCGCACGTTATTCTGACGCATGCCGTGATGGTTAGGATCAGTAGTAATACCCCTTGACTGAAGAGGTCGAGGGGTCAGTTGGGTTGATATTGTATCGGTAAGATCTATGACACGCACAAAGACTTAGTCGTTAATACATTAGTTAGAATAAATTATTACACGCCTCGACCATACGACCGGAGCGATCATTACTGTGAGATCATCGAGGTTGAGGCAGCGTCCTGATTGTGGCGCTAACTCGAACAGTACCTCTATCCTTACTCGTGCACCGTGAGCAAGGTTGAGGATCTAACTCAGCCTCCCGTGGGTAGAAAGGGAGTCGCCCCTTGGGCGGTGACTTCCTGGCCACACCGCCKCCCGAGTGACTARTGCCTTCGTCCCTCTTCATAGAGAGATACCGTTGCAGGCTCTGATACCATCCTTACAGGACCTAGACTCGTACTACTGGAAACCGGTGCCCGCCTACCTGATGGTACAAGGCCTCTGGAAACGCCTATTTTGTCTTCTTCTGATCGGCCTCGAATACTCGAAGGTCTACTCGGTGTGGTACCGGCCTACCTGCTACTTGAGTGCTTTCCCGCTATTCTAAGTGTGCGGGTCTACCCCCGCTACCTTATAACTTTCCGCCACGTCCCTCAGGGCCACGACTACAGGTAAGTACCGGGCCTACGGGCCTTCTGAGCAACTAAGTGCCCTTGCGGGTCACACATACGCCCAAGTCGACAGGTGTGCAGACCGGCATGTGTACGCACACACAGACTTGGAAAAACAGACTCAGGCCACTAAGTGGCCCGAGCCCTCGATCCTCTATATGTTACCTGAGCGGCTCCTTTCCTAACCAGAATAGGAGCTAGCTCAATTGGTTTAGGTGTAGACTGACAAGCGAAAAACACAAGGATCGAGGCCTACCGCCGCTGAGGCTAGCTCCTTTTGAAAAGGAGCCCCGTTTTTTTACCCGGTTTTGAGTGGTCGGGGCTTGAACCCGCGATCACAGCATTAGGATTAATTATAGTTAGGTCGTTGCCCGACAATTGGCACGACAGGGGTGTTAGCAGTTGAAAATTTCCTTTGTTTTCTTTATTTTATTATTATTAGATTTGATTTTTTTTATTTTCTTTCTTATTATATATATATATATATATATATATATATATATAATTTCGCTGATCCGTAATTGCTC